CATCCTCATCCTCATCTCCATCCTCATTCCTCCTCTTCCTCCTCCTTCCCGGCGTCTCCCAAGTTCCAGCGGGAGCTCGGCCCTGCCCGCCCTTCCCGTTTTTCCCAAACCCGACGTTCCCGGCTCCTCGGCTGTAGGTTATTCCCTGCTTGGGAAGGATATTCCAACCTCTCCTGGATTTCTGGGATAACCAGGAGACTCCCCCTCAGGGCAGTATCCCGACCCCCTGGATAAACCCCTCGGAATCGCGGTGTATCCCGAACCCCTGGATAAATCCTTTGGAATCACAGCGTATCCCGACCCTCTGGAAAATCCTTTGGAGCCTCAGTGTATCCCAAACCTCTGGAAAACCTTCTGGAGCCGCGGTTTATCCCGATCCTTGCCTGATTCTGCGGCTTGGGATCCTTCCCCATCCCACCCCAAACGTGGAGTTCCCGTTTGGAATAATTCGGGATAACACCGGGATGAGGCCCCCGAGCTGCCTCCCCCCCCCCCCCCCCCCCCAATCCTTGCCGGAATTTCGGGATCCTCTCCACGTCCCTTTTCCCATTTTCCATGGTTTTTTCCGCTCTTCATTACCACTATTTACGGGTCCGAACCGCCGCGTTTTCCCAATTCCCGGTATTTTCAGGAATTTTTTTAGGGCGGAATCTCCTTTACTTTCAGTTTTGCCTCTTTCTCCCGGGCGAGTTTTCCCGGGATTTTTCCCATCCCCGTTTCCCCGGGATCGCTCGTGTTAATCCCGACCTCGAGCCGAGCAAGACTCGGCTGTTCCAGGCCCTTCTCCCGCTGCCCAAATCCCGGGAATTCTCCCGCTGCCGGAGCCAGAGGGACCAAAATCCCCGGGGCTGGAGTTTGGTGCGTCTCCCTTTTATCCCGATCCCACATTCCCCACGATTTTTCTTCTCCCAGACAACCCCCCCATTGGATTATTCCCTGGTTTTCCCCCTAAATTAATCGGGAATCGGGAATTTTGAATCTCAGGCACCTCCATCCCACGGGAATTTCGGCCGATCCCGAGGGGTGAAAGCGAGGGGTGAAAATATTTGATGGGAGAAATTAATAAGGGAGGGAAAAAATGAGGAATTTGGGATGGACGTGGGATAAATATCCATAGGTAAAAAACCCCTGGGATGTGGCTCCGTGTTGCCTTCACGGAATTTGGGTCTGGAAAACCCAAATGATCCCAATTCACTCCCAAAATGCAGCGCCGGGGGGAGGACACGGTTCCCTTGGAGCCGCGGGGCTTTTCCCGGGATTCCAAACGGTCTCAGGACTTTGGGAGAGATCAAATCCGACGGGAAAAGTGCTGGGAAAACTTCCCGCTGGCGGGTAATTCCCGATTCTCCGCGTTTCGCCTCCCGACCCGCCTCATCCCTCTCCCCAGTTCGGGTCTGAGGATCCGGGAATCCGGGGTAATTCGGGATTTTGGGATCTTCACCCCCGAGGGGGTTGGAAAAGCTGCTTCCCAGGGCCCGGGAGAGGAGCCCGGGAGGGCTGGGAAAGGCTTGGAATGTCCCTGGAGAAGCGGGGAATCGGGAAATCCCGTTTTTTCTGGGGATGCGCCGGGTCAGGGCTTGGAATTCCAGTGCCCAAACTAAAGCCGGGTTTGGACTTCAGTGCCCAAATTAAAGCTGGATTTGGAATTCCGGTGCCCGAATTAAACCAAACTTAGAATTCCAAGTTTTTTTTAAAAAAGCCCAAATTAAAGCTGGTCTTACAATTCAGCGCCCGAATCAAAAACGCCCGAATTAAAACTGGTTTTAGGATTCCAGCGCCCGAATTCCAAGCGCCCGAATTCCAAGCGCCCGAATCCAAGTCGGGTTTAGGATCCCGGTGCCCGATCCCGAGCCGGGTTTAGGAT